CAGCTCTGCCCCCCCCCCCACTGGCCTGCCACAGTGGTCAGGGTTAGGCCAAAGCTTTGTGCAGGCCCGTTGCGCGGCAGGGTGTCGCATGACTCATCTCCTCCTAATTGTTCTCTTCTAATCCCTCGCAAGGATTAAAGCACCAGAGGGGGGGGGAAGTCTGGTGGGGGGCGGGAGGCTCAGCGGGTGCAGATGGAAGCTGGCGGTGTTGATGGCTCCGCTGCCCCTGCCCTGGCGCAGTCCCTTAGGCCAGGCAGCACCTCCCATTTCTCTAGCACCACCCTGGCCTTTGCCTTGGCTGGTGGGGAACATAAGAACATAAGAGAGAAGCCAATGTTGGATCAGGCCAGTGGCCCATCCAGGCCAACACTCTGGATCACACAGTGGCCAAAAACACCAGGTGCCCTCAGGAGGTCCACCAGTGGGGCCAGGACACTAGAAGTGGGCAGGGCTTTTTTTGTAGAAAAAGCCCAGCAGGAACTCATTAGCATAATAGGCCACACCCAATAGCATAAACTCATTAGCATATTAGACCACACCCTAACAGCACAGCTCATTAGCATATTAGGCCGCACCCCATGTTGCCAGAAGTGTGGTCATCCAGCCACACCCACCTTTTGCTTCTTATTCTGTTTGGTGTAGTGGTTAAGTGTGCGGACTCTAATCTGGGAGAACCGGGTTTGATTCCCCACTCCTCCACTTGCACCTGCTGATGTGACCTTGGGTCAGTCACAAGCTCTGGCACAGCTGTCCTTGAAGGAGCAGTTTGTGTCAAAGTTCTCTCAGCCCCACCCACCTCACAGGGTGTCTGTTGTGGGGAGGGGAAGGGAAAGGAGTTTGTAAGCCGCTCTGAGATACCTTTGGGTAGTGAAGGGCGGGGTATAAATCCAATCTCTTCTCTTCTTCTTCTTTTTCTTCTTATTCGTCAAAACCCAGGGCTTTTTTTGAAGCAGGAACTTCTTTGCATGTTAGGCCACACACCCCTAATGTAGCCAATCCTAATGAGTTTCTGCTGTTAGGTGTGGCCTATTATGCTAATTGGTTCCTGCTGGGCATGGCCAACTCGGGAGCCAGCCGGAACTCCATTCCTGTGCGTTCCTGCCCAAAAATAGCCCTGGAAGTGGGGATTCAGGGGCTCGCCCTTCAATGGCTTGCCTCTTTTCTCCAAGGTCGGGGACAAAGGGTGGTGATAGGGGAACAGCAGTCCCGGAGACATCCACTTGAATGCGAGGTGCCTCAAGGGGCAGTGCTTTCCCCAGTGTTGTTCAACATCTGCATGCGCCCCCTTGCCCAGATTGCTCGGAGGTATGGGATTGGGTGTCATCAATATGCAGATGACACCCAGCTCTATCTGATGTTGGGCGGCCTGTCAGAATCCAGCCCAGAAGATCTGCACCGGGCATTGCAGGCCGTGGCTGGTTGGCTCTGACTGAGTCGGCTGAAGCTAAACCCAGCGAAGACAGAGGTCCTGGGCGTGAGTCGGGGCGGTTTGGGGTTAGGGCTCCCTCTCCCGACCTTCGATGGGGCGCCTTTGGTGCCAGTGCCGGAGGTTAGAAGTTTGAGAGTGCTCCTGAACTCCTCGTTAACTATGGAGGCCCAGGTGGCAGCCACGGCTAAGTTGGACTTTTACCATCTTCGGCTGGCTCAGCAGTTGGTTCCCTTCCTCGACTGCGATGACCTGGCCACAGTGATCTATGCAACGGTCACCTCGAGGCTAGACTACTGCAACGCTCTCTACATGGGGCTGCAAATCCGGAAGCTGCAGCTAGTGCAGAATGCTGCAGCCAGGCTGCTGATGGGCCTCCAGAGTTGAGACCACATCCGGCCTGTGCTGAAAGTGCTGCACTGGCTGCCAATAGCGTACCGGACTCGCTTCAAAGTGCTGGTTCTTACCTTTAAAGCCCTATATGGCCAGGGTCCGACATACCTAAGGGACCGCCTTTCCCCATATGTTCCCCTACGGGCACTACAGGGGACGCAACATCTCCTGGTGACCCCAGGCCCCAAGGAGGCCAGGCTGGCTGCAACCAGGGCCAGGGCTTTTTCGGTGGCGGCTCCTACCTGGTGGAATGAGCTCCCGGAGGAGATCCGGGCCCTGTGGGACCTTGCGCAGTTCCACAGGGCCTGTAAGATGGAGCTCTTCCGCCAGGCTTTTCAGTAGGAGTCGCCACTACCTCACTACCTCACCATCATTACCTTTACCATCATCATCAACTGGCCCTGGGAGAAGTGAATGACAGCACTGCGTGGACACCACTGATCTGGGAGTACTTTTTTCTGACACCATCTTTTTATTGAAAACTGATCTGAAACATCTAGAGCACCTTATAATTTTGTAATATCATAATGA